CGGATTTCGAGACGTGGGCCCGGGGGTCGGGTTTGAGTCGATTTCGGATTTTGGCTCTAATTTAGTAGTTTTCTTGTGGAATTGATCCCTTTAGCCTTTATCTATTGTTTTGTATTACTTGTGGCTAGATTCGGGACGGTTGGAGGCCGATTTGAGAGGCAAAGGCATCACGGAGTAGGATTTTGCTCGGATTGAGGCAAGTAACGGTTATAAATCTAGTCCTGAGGGTATGAAACCTCGGATTTTGTGTCGTATGACTATTTTGAAGGTGACGCACATGCTAGGTGACGAGCGTGCGGGCGTGCACCGAAGGGATTGTGACTTGGTTCGTCCCGTGAGACTGTAGAATCGAATAGCCTACTGTTTACTATGTGTTCCCTTTATTTTTATGGAAATTGACTGCACTTTATGTTAGAAACCATATTTAGGCCTTATGATATCACTGTTGAGACCCGTGAGGTTGTGTACTTGCTGAATTAACTGTTGTTTGTTGTTTCGTTCACAGTCATGATATTACTTGCGTATTTTACCTCCGTCCTTTCCTATTTGTCATTGATACATGTTATCATCTCTGTTTGGGCTGACTTATATGCTTTCTGAGAGCCGAGGGATTGGTGAGGTTGGTGACTGAGATAGGGCCTGAGTGCCGAGCTGTGAGCTATATGAGTGTATATTGGATCGGGTTGCACGCCACAACGAGCCTTCGGGCTAATTATCTATTTTGGATCGGGTTGCACGCCGCAACGAGCCTTATGGCTATTTATATATTGGATCGGGTTGCACGCTGTAGCGATATAGCGCTTGGGCTGAAGGAGTCCCTCCGCAGTCTACACACACGGTGAGCGAAGGTACCTATTGAATATGATTACTGAGGGCTGAAAGCCGAGTGATTGAGTTGTTGAGATGAGCTGAGTGACTGTTGTCTTAAGAGATTGTACTTGCTTTCAATTATTTGTTGCATTTAGTTGTTATCCGCCCTTCTTGTGTAAATTTCTGGAAGTCTTGATATATGTTTTACTTGTGCACGAACTGATTTGACTTAAACTACTAAATTTGAAAGCATGATTGTTCCTTATTTGAAAGTTATGAAATAAATTCTATTTGCATAGCACGTCACTACTTCTTAGTTCCTTATTTATTTCTGTTACTTACTGAGTTGGAAGTACTCACGTTACTCCCTTCACCTTGTGTGCAGATTCAGGTGAGACCAGTCGCGGAGGTTATTGAGTTCGTGCGCAGTTGGCTATCAGAGACATACGAGGTAGCTGCCGGCGTCAACGGCCCTTGTCTCTCCCTCCATTGTTATCTTTTCTTTTTGTTTTGGCATTAGTGGACTATTGTAAACTCTGATTCTAGACTGGTTTTAGATGCTCATAACTTAGTGACACCACGATGTCGGACTATCTTTTCAGCATTTTTATTTTGAGTCCAACTCTTTTATGAAGTTTCTATTATAAAAAAGCTTTAACTTAACTTTTAATGAAATCTCGAAGTTTTTTTGAAAGGTGTCGGCTTGCCTAGTACCACGATAGGCGCCATCACAACAGGTTAGAGTTTTGGGTCGTGACATAACTTCAAACGAGAACAACTCCCAATATATGAAGAGTTATATGGAGTACGACCTATCAAATTAAACATCTGTGAGTCTAGTTTTTATTGATTCAAACCTCTTGTCATTTGGATATTCCTATAAAAAGTTATAATCTTTTTACTGGAGGGTAGCACACCAACCACGCAACTACGCCAACTGTGCGTAGCTATGCTGCCTTGTGCTTAGCTGATTCCAGCAAGCTAGTCAGATGAAAGGGATCTGAATAGGAAGGGAGCTTAGCTACGCAAAGGTTTTCGTAGCTAGACATGTCATCAGAACTATAAAAGTGGCTATTCGGGAAGAGAGAAAGAGATTAAAATTTTGGACAAGGGTTTGGGTTCCAGAGAGAAGGAGGAACTCTCCCACCATGAATACACTTCAAGGTAAGTTTATTTGGTATAAGCATAATTATATAACATCATTTGATATAACACTAACATTATCATGGATCGAAATCCATAGGAAATGGGTTGAATCTTCAAGAATATTAAAAAGAAAAAAAAGTGAGACACTTCCATCAAGAGGTAACTCCTTTACGTGAGCTTCACATAGATGATATATTGGAGTATGGGTAGCATGTGTATTAAGTTTATTTCAAGTTATAATTGAGTATTATATAAACCTTAAGAGTGGTTGTTGAAAATAATATTGTGAATAAAGAGAAAAATGAATAGTGGTGGCTTGATATAAGTGAAATTGTATTGAATTTTTAATGATTCCAATATACCTGATAACCTAATTGATGGACGAATTGAAGGGGGAATCACCATTTGGCTGAGAAATAACATTAGTTCACGAACTAGATGTTCTTGAACCTAGAGTTTTGTTGGAGAAGATAATGAATAGTGACTAGGTGATATCGAGTGAATAATATAGTATCATTACTGACTCCAAATGAGTACTTAAATAAGAACGTAACTGAATAGGCTAATTAGTGGACCTATTGGACAATTTGAAATGGTTGAAGACTTGTCGCCGAATCGTGAAGCCTAAATAGATATTTATGAATCTTTTCATATTTGTTTTGATGTAGTTGGGATATCTAATGGTAGATATTGAATTGTTGACGATATTTGAGCATTTTAATCAATTAGAGCGGTGTAGTATTATTTGGAGCTTGAAGGTTGAGGTAAATTGATTATGACTTATTCTTCTTGAGGGATTTCTCTAAAATTTTGAGTTAATACGTGATATTATTTATAAATGTGCATTCGTACTTGTGGGGACAAGCGGGAAGGATGTCACCACGTGTTTCTAAGTTTGTTTTTTGAAGTATCATATGATTTTATAAAATAAAAAAAAATCTTATTTTCAAAACTTGTTTCAAGATGACACTTAAGGAAAGCGTTATAAGTTTTATTAAAACTTATGTGTTGATAAAAGTATAAACTATTTTAGTGCTAAAGAGATATTTCATGAAAAAATATGTGTTTTGAAATTTGAACAATGGAGTAGCACTTGCTGTATTTTTAAAAGATTTGCTAAAAGCATTAACATGAAAAGGGTTATTTATTTGATTTTATTAAAATGGTTTGGATTGTCTATGAAAATCATGATTTGATAAAAATAGATCCTTTCTATTAGCCTATGAATCTATTTATATTCAAATATTTTGGGAGTTACTAGTGGAGACCACCGAGATTGGTTCGAATGAGTTCATTACTATGGAACTATACATACCGGTGTAGGGACACATTCCAAGGTTAAGCCGAGGTTTGTGGAATAAAGTCCCCAATTCAGAGAGCAAATGATCATTACTTAAAGTAATGAGGTTAAGTCGACTTGTACGGCACTACGGGAAACCGCTCAGACAAGTAGGGTCAAATGCTTGTTGCTAGGTTGATCAGCGTTTATTATGTCGGTGTCGATATAGTACTCCTGGCGAAAGGAGCCGAAAGTAATTTCAATAACTTAATGAGATTGAAATGGTTTTGTATGATTTTTATTAAAAATTTGGATTGATATAGATGTTCTAAGAATTTATATCATGGTTTATATTTCACTTGTCTTTTAATTTGAAATGATAAAGAGCTTGATTTATATAATTGTTTATCACTTTTTATCAAATATCGATTTCATAGTTTTTATAAAATCTTGTCCCAAAAACTTGTGTTAGAGAGAGTTTATGACACTTATTGAGTAGCGTGGTGATGTACTCAACCCTCAGGGGCCCCTATTCAGGGCTCCGCTTACTTTACGTGTTTCAGGTTGGGGGTATGACGCGTGGCATGCAGAAATTACTAGGATGACTCTCTTCCAAAGTATATGGTGAGGCACCACTCATATTTCGTGGTAGCTATCATGTTGTCTTTTTATTTTATGTTAGTCGGGCATTGGCCCAAATATTGAGTTCTATTCTTGGTATAGAGATCCCATAGACAGTTTTGATGAGTTGTAGTAATGGGTTGGTACACGACATATATGAAAAAATATTTGTTGTATTTGGTCTCATTATTATTATGAAAGGCGTCGTGTGTGATTTTGAATTGGAAAAATGTCTCATCATTTAATTTGGAAATATATATAATTTTCAAAGAGCTTCCGCAATTAAATTATTTTTTAAGCATATAATTTGGGTGTATCATTTGGTTTGGTTCGCTCGGGTCGGATAGTGTACTGAATGCCGATCACATGGTTTTTGTTGAGATTATTTATTCTTTCATTTTTCCATTCTTTCATACTTGTATTCATACATGTATTGGTCATTAGGTAGTTAGTTATTGTTGGGTATTTGTACAGCTACTATAAATAGGACATCAACTATGTATTTTCTTTTTGAGTTGAAAATAATGAAATCAATTCCTTTTTCTTTCTAGAAGCTTCATCTGCTTTTCTCTCTCTCTCTCTGTTGTGCGATCTAATCCGCCATTAGAGCTCATACTGAGCTCACCTCTTTTCTTCTGATTATCTCTAAACTTTCACATGGTATCAGAGCGAGACAATGGCCTGAAGCTCCATCTCCTTTCGATTTTTCGTTCTTCTACTCACAGTCAGAAATTGACCATTGTTACTCATTTTTTTGGAAATTAGGGTTCCTGTGTGGAAATCGATCAATTAGTCGACTGTTCTTGGCTATTCATCTTCATCGATAACTATTTCATCTTAGTCAATTCGAATCATGGCCAGAGGAGACGAAGTCCCAGTCACGAACAAAACCCTAGATTCAACAAGCCCACTGTACATGCATCCATCGGAAAGCGCCGGATCCAATGCTAGTTCCGATAGCTTTTGACGGAACCGGTTATAGATCATGGAGAAGAGGAATCCTCAGAGCACTCTCCGTGAAAAACAAATTAGGGTTCATCACCGGAAAATGTAAGAAACCAGACTTGATTCGGCTGACCTTGATCAATGGGAGCTATGCGATGATATGGTAACTTCATGGATCTTAAACTCGCTGTCTAAGGACATGGCGGACAACTTGCAATACGTCAATGATGCTAAAGAGCTTTGGCAAGAACTAGAAGACAGATACGATCAAACTAATGGCGCCAAGTTGTATCAACTGCAAAAGGAGATAAATGATCTGAGCCAAGGAAGCCTAGACATCACTGGATACTATACAAAAATGAAGAAACTTTGGGAAGAACTCAACACCCTGAATATTCATGCCAAACGTGCTTGCAAATGCACCTGTGGAGCAAGAGAAAACATACATAAAGTTGAACAGGATAGAAGATTAATTCAGTTTCTGATGGGGCTCAATGAAGTATATACTATCGTGAGAGGGAGTATTTTGATGATGAACCCTCTCCCAACAATAGCTCAAGCTTTCTCTATTCTTATTCAAGAGGAGAAACAAAGGGAAGTTAAACCAAGTATTAGTTTTTCAATGGACTCTGCTGCCTTGAATGTGAGTGGGTCAGGAAATAGCAATTTCAGAACTAACTACAATCAACAGGAAAACAACAACACCTACAGTGGATATAAGGGAAACCAGCTTAACAGCAGACCTAGACCATTCTGTGACTATTGCAAGATGCCAGGGCACACTAAGGACAAATGCTACAAACTTCATGGATTCCCATAGAGTTCCAGGTTCAATAAGGGAAGAAGAATTGCTGAAAATGTTTTTGGACCATCAAATGAAGCAGATGCACTGAAGGATGATGGGAATGGTCCTCAGGAACAGGAACAGAGTCGACATATGCACAGTCTGACTAAAGAACAATATGGCCAACTGCTCACCATCCTGGAAAGCTTTCAAGGAGGAGTAGATAAATCCACAAGCAATTGCATCAATGGAGGAGCTGTGAACTTTGCAGGTATTTCAGCATGCTCTACTCACTTTGACTCTAGTAATCATTTGTGTGATAGTTCTAATTCAGATGCTGACACGTGGATCCTTGATTCTGGGGCCACAAATCACATGACACATAACAAATCAATCCTAACTAATGTTAAAACCTTCGTTTACCCATACCTAGTCATCCTACCAAATGGCTACAAGGTTAAGGTGACACTGATTGGTGATGTAATCCTAAGTCCAAAATTCAGTCTCAAGAAGGTCCTTTTTGTTCCAAGTTTTAAATTCAATCTGATATCAGTCCACTCTTTGACAGTTCAACTTGGTTGTATTGTAGTGTTCACCAAGTACATTTGTATTCTTCTACAGGGCCCTTCACTGAAGAGGCCACTGGAGATTGGTAAAGCCAAGACTGGTCTGTATCTACATTGTTCAAGCAACTGCAACACTGGTTCAACCCTCTCTAATTCTTCTAGTGCATCCATTCCATGTTTTACTAATAATGAGAACAAGGTAGATTATGTAGTTAGCACATCTAGCTCACCTTCTTCTTCTCAACTAGTTAGCACAAGTAAATTGGTTTCTACTACTCCTGTTACTTCCACCATAGTTACCCCACCTTATAGTAGTAATAGAAGCAGTTCACTTCCACATTCAGATCAATCTGTAAATAGTTCAAGCAATAAAAGTAAGTCTTCTTTGTCTAGTAATTCCTCTACTACAAAACTTTTACTTGATCTTTTGTAGCATAACAGATTAAGACATGTACCTTTTGTTAAAATTAAAGGGATTTCCTCTATACCTGTTGCCTTTGCACCCAAACAACCTTTTCTTTGCCCTATCTGCCCAATGGCAAGACAAACTAGTTTATCTTTCCCAGAAAGAACAACATTGACTACCAAACCCTTTGAACTGCTACATATTGACTTGTGGGGCCCATACCATGTTGCAACACACAATAAATACAAATACTTCATTACCGTTGTAGATGATTACAGCAGGTCCACATGGACCCACTTATTAAGCTGCAAAAGCAATGCTCTACATACCATTAAGGCTTTCTTTGCTGTGGTAAAGCAACAATTCAATACCAATGTCAACACTATAAGAACAGACAATGGTCTTGAGCTTACCAGCCAAGAGGTCACTTAATTCTTACAATCAAAGGGCATTATACATCAAAGAACATGCCCATACACACCACAACAAAATGGTGTGGTGGAAAGAAAATACAAATATTTGTTAGAAACAGTCAGGGCTCTACTCTATCAGTCAAAATTACCCATGCAGTATTGGGGTGAATGCATTCTAACTTCTACCTAACTAATAAACATACTGCCCTCTTCATCACTCAAAACCAAATGTCCCTTTGAACTCCTATACCAGAAAAAGCCAAGCTACTCTCATCTCAGAAGTTTTGGTTGTTTATGCTTCCCTACCACTCTCAAAATATACAAAGATAAGTTTGAGCCAAGAACTACTCCCCATGTTTTTGTGGGATGTCCCTTTGGGACAAAAGGCTATAAGGTACTAAATCTGGCCACTAAGAAGATAAGTATTTCAAGAGATGTAGTATTCCATGAAAATGCAAACAAAGTTTTTCCATCATTTCCTCAAATGAAATCATACTTGTCAGATGATTTCTTTCCTGCCAGTGATATAGGTAGTGTTCCACATTCAGTAAGTGATAATACTCACCATGAAGTGTCACCTGGGAACCTGTCCAGGCCTGAGCCTTGCTCACCCCCATCTAACCCTCATAATGATGACTCCGGACCTTCTCACTCACCCTTAAAAGGCCAGACATCAGGGAGCTTTCCTGTTGTTGACTGTCCAGGAGAGGTCCCTCCTGATGCACCTCAAAGTCCAACTGTTATAATCCAGGATCAAGGAACTTCAGTCTCAAATCAGAATAGACCCTCTAGGACATTGAAAATTCCTGCCTATCTTAAAGATTTTGAGTGTACCCTTCCCAGGCTTCAGCAAACTCATCAAAACCAACCAATCTCTCCAAATGATAGCCAAAGTACACAGTCTTTTTTCTTTCAACACATCTGCCCCTAAACCTCTTGATAACTCACCTAATGAAACATATTCCACCTGTCAGCATTTGATAGGAACTGGTCCACATGAATGTGAACCTAGCTCATATGAGGAGGCTGCTGTAAAGCCTGCCTGGCAAGCAGCAATGAATCAAGAATTCCAAGCATTGTATGCAAATAAAACCTAGGACCTAGTTCCTCTTCCAATTGGAAAGAAGGCAATAGGGTGTAAATGGGTATATAAGATCAAACATAAGGCAGATGGTAGTGTAGAGAGATTTAAAGCTAGATTAGTAGTGAAGGGGTATACACAACAAGCTGGGATAGATTACACAGAAACATTCTCACCTGTAGTAAAAATGACAACTGTTAGGGCTCTAATAGCAACAGCAGTCAAGAAGGGGTGGCAGGTCTTACAACTAGATGTAAATAATGATTTTCTTCATGGGGATCTCCATGAAGAGGTGTATATGGAGATACCACTAGGCCTAGTTGTGGACTTACCAGGTCTAGTGTGCAAGTTGAACAAGTCCCTGTATGGACTCAAACAAGCAAGTAGACAATGGTATGAGAAACTAACTGAAGCCCTGTGTTCTAAGGGGTACACTCATTCAATGCTTGATTATTCTTTGTTCTATAAGAAGAGTGAAGGCTCAGTAGTGTTTGTAGCTGTGTATGTAGATGATGTTCTTGTTACTGGCACCCATTTGCAAGAGATTGAGTCCCTGAAAGCTTTTCTGCACAATACTTTCAAAATAAAGGACCTAGGGAGACTTCATTACTTCCTAAGACTGGAAGTTCAATACACAGAGAGAAAGGGGTTTTAATGTCACAAAGGAAATTCACTATTGATCTTTTAAGAGAGTTTGGATGTATAGATTGTCCTTCTATGACTTCTCCTATGGACCCCTTTGTGAAATTAAAGGCTGATGAGGGAGCTCCACTGGCTGACCCTTCTTATTATAGGAAGTTGATTGGCAAACTCAACTTTCTCATTAACACCAGATTGGACATTGCCTATTGTGTGCAAATCTCAGCCAATTCATGCAAAGTCCCAGGGAACCCCATTTGAAGGCAGCATACCATGTCCTAAGATACTTAAAAGGTGATCCATCTTTGGGAATCTTCCCCAACAACAATGCAAACTATGGAGTGAATGCATTCTGTGATTCAGACTGGGCTACTTGCTCCCAATCCAGAAAATCAGTTAGTGGGTACCTTGTGCTACTTGGTACTAGCCCTATTAGTTGGAAATCTAAGAAGTAGTCTACTATTTCACTATCTTCTGTAGAAGCTGAATATAGGTCAGCTAGAATGGTAGTTGGTGAACTTGTATGGTTGGTAAGACTTCTCAGTGAACTTACTATTCCATTGGCCTTGCCTATCCCCATATTCTGTGATAGCCAAGCTGCTTTGCACATCGCAAGAAATCCTGTGTTCCATGAACGAACGAAACATATCGAAGTGGATTTGTCACTTTGTGAGAGATCAACTGCAGGAAGGGCTAATTTCTCTTCATCATGTCTCTACTAATGACCAGTTAGCTGACATCTTGACCAAGCCTTTAATAGGGATCAAGCATGCTGCACTTCTCAGCAAGTTGGATGTGAGGTCCTCCCCTCCAACTTGAGGGGGGGGGGGGTGTTGAGATTATTTATTCTTTCATTTTTCCATTCTTTCATACTTGTATTCATATATGTATTGGTCATTAGGTAGTTAGTTAGTGTTGGATATTTGTACTGCTACTATAAATAGGACATCAACTCTGTATTTTCTTTTTGAGTTGAAAATGAAATCAGTTCCTTTTTCTTTCTAGAAGCTTCATCTGCGTTTCTCTCTCTCTCTCTCTCTCTCTCTCTCTCTCTCTCTCTCTCTCTCTCTCTCTCTCTCTGTTGTGCGATCTAATCCGCCATTAGAGCTCATACTGAGCTCACCTCTTTTCTTCTGATTATCTCTAAACTTTCACAGTTTTGGATCGTGACAGTTCTTCAAATTGGAGGAAAATCATAGTTGCATATAACAAGTACAAAAATAAAATCTTAATCTTTTTGTCATTTCAAATGAGTGAAGAAGAAGACTGATGAAGTTCTTACCGAAAAAGACTGAGCAATAAATTGCATGATATTGCTATAGAATGAAGAAGATGTGAAAGACAAATGAAAGAGCGTGCGTGATATGTGGGACAAAAGGCGTTTCATTGGGTGAAAGATATTTAATTTTTAAGGGATTGTTTGGTTGGAAAGAAGTTATACAAGGATTAGTCATTTCGAAATTAGTTATCCTGAGATTAGTTATTCCATCTTTTTATGGGGATAAAAAATAGTACTACAATCGCGGGATTAATTATATTGTTATTTTCTCCCAACCAAATGTGGGATAAACTCTTCTTAAATTTAATCTTGAATCAATTATTCCTTACGTCTCGTAACGAGTCGTAAGTGTTCTATTTTTTGTTATTTGTAATATGGTCCTTAACTATTGTCAATTAAGATAAGTTAATATTCTCACTCATATCAACTAAGAAAATATAGAAAAAATTAATCCAAAAAAGAAAATAGTCACGTGGCAACAAAATTCAAGTAGTATCTGTTTTCGCGCCCGTTTCATACTAGTGTGGTTTTTCATTTCCCGAGGACGCTACAGTGTCGAGTGCGACCGAACCAGAAGAGGATGGCAGTCATTTCCAAAAACCCAAACAATACAACTAGTTCCTCCTCCTCCGTCGACGACCCTCTATTGCCTTGGCTCCGGTAACTTTTTCTCCGAAATATGCATTTGCAACTCACATCACATGTTCAAATTGTTTATTATATGCCCTAATTTGTAGGTCAATTGAGAAATTGTTGAAAGAGCGAACTTTAACTGACTCGAACGATGGTAGAGATCTGCACGAGCTTTGCTCGAACTGCATCACTACTTTCAAGAACAACCCTCGGTACCAAAACGACGTCAGATTCCTCAAGATTTGGTTTCTATATGTAATAAATCATCATCCCCTTTTTGTTCTTCCTGTTTGATATCTACGAGTTTATTAGTACTATATATAAATGATAAGAAATATCTGGGAAGAGGTGGATTTGGGAATTTAAGTTAATAGGTGAAGGTGGCGGAGCCAGGAATTCAAACATGGGAATTCATTCAACAACTTATTTATACGCCAAAAAAAAAAAAATCATTTTTGCTCCATTTACATAGTATAATTTTCCAATTAAGGGGATTCAATTGAACCCCCTTGGCTCCGCTCCTTAATAGTTGCTAGGTATACACTACTTTGTTATAATGGATGCACTTAGTATAAACGCGCGCACACATGTAGAGGTGGATCCATGATTTAAAGTTTATGGGTTCCTACGATGACCTCAAGTTAATATACAATAATGATCGGTTCACAGTCAAGTATTTATAGATATTTAGTAGACTTCTCAATACATATATAGGGTCTGGACAAAAGCTATTAGGTTCACGCGAACCCATAGGTTACAAGTTAGCTCCGCCTATGCTAAAAAGGTTGATCTACTCCAGTGTGTGGGCATTATTGCATTATCTGATATATCGGTTGCTTGTATTTCAGATGGATAGCAGTTTGGACCACGAAAGTGTATATAGAGAAATTGAGCAGAATAAGATTTGCTTGTTCAATTCTATGCTCTACGAGGCATATGCGTTGTTCCTAGAGGCAAAAGGGATGTTAACAGATGCATTTCACATTTACCATTTGGGAATTTCAAGGTTGCTCTCTTTCTCAGAGGACATTGCTATTTTATAGGCTCATAGTTCTTTAAGCACATGCTTCCAGTTGTATTTTATGACATTATGTTCATGAACTTAGGACTATGTTTTCAGGAATGCTGAGCCACTTGGTAGGTTGAAGAAGGCACAAGTGTTGTTTCTCGAGAGAATGTCTGAGAAAGTAACAGCTGGTTCATTACAGAAGGTATTTTCTGTTCTGCTTTCATAATCTGCACTAACTGGGGCAAGTATAACAATGTTATTAGCATAGGGTCAGGTCTTTGGAAGTAGCAATGCTGGATTCAATAATTAAACTTTGACTAGCAGGGAACTGCCAAACTTTAATGAGATGAAATGGTGTATATGTGGATAAAACAGAAAAGGCTACATTGTCTACACATTCTGTCATCCATCTTGACCTACAAATGACTAGAGGATATTTTCTAGCTTCATGCTTGGACTTCATTGTTGTGCAGATTAAGGGGCAAATCTCTGACATCTACTTGCTGATCATCATTTTTCTGCTTTTAAAGTTCTTGTTCAATCCATTCTGCACATATGGAACTTAGGCAGTGACGCGAATCTCCTATTTTTCTTTCTGCTAAAAATGATGATAAATCTGAATATTTCTGGCAAGTAGATCTGTCTGGTCGTGGCGTGTTCCATTTACTTGATAGCTAATATGATAGATCAAATGATCTATGAATGTGATACAAGTAACATGTCATAGCTTTGAGCTAGAATAACATAGGGGATAACTTTCTTTGTTGACCTGTCAATATCATGTAGTCTCAATAAAGTGCATCGGCACTAAGCATCTGATTAAGAAGGCAGCTTCTGGACCATTTGGTAAATTGAAAACTCAGGTTTATGATTGTGTGATAAGACACCCTAAAGTTATTTTCAAAGAATTTAGATATAAGGTCATCTTGTCGGAATGTTACTGGTAAAGATTAATTGACTTATTTTTTCGGAATAAATTTGATAGTTAAAGTCTGTTTATTATTAACCATGTAATGTGCTTTCTGATTATTTTATGTATGTGCTTACTTTCTAATCTGCAATGTTAACATATGTTAGAATAAAATCATTATTAGAGAGGCAACAAGTGCTGGAAAAGCAAGTCAAGCATGTCGAGTTCTGAGGCGAGGAACATTTAGCATGCATTTTGTGATTGTCGCTTTCTTAAATGATAAGTTTATTTGACAAAGCATTTCTATACATGCTATCAGACAACCTATTACATGTCATACTACACATCCTAATTTAAGTGCCAGAGCATATATTATTAGTCGTGTTTAGTAATTTTTTTTACCAAAAGTTAAACCCTCTTTAGACCTGTCAAGGTTGTAACATCCAAGATAAGCTGTCTTGAAACCCTCAAATTGAATATTAAGTGGTAAGCTTGTAGAATAGTCACTATGCTTCATTCCTCAGGTAAGTCTTCATGTTCATTTGTCCAGTTTGTTGATTCTGTTATCCTGCATAACTAATTTCCATCTTGCCTCTAGGCTACTTTGTTGCTTATGTCACTCTTACTTTAAAACAGTGAAAATCTGGATCTATCATACTTTCTATGATCCCTTCCGATTTCTCTTGTTTTTGAAAACTTATGGAGCTAGTGTTTGTGTTGTCTGTCATGTTCTTTCTTACTTTTTTATCCACGTGTTTAGCTGTTAGTGAGGATTATATTATTGATTTCCTTTCACACCATCATGTAGATGGACATTGTGTCAGAGAATGGTGGAGCTTGTATCAATCCATGGTTGGTCTCGACGATTAAAAATCTGTTGCAGAAGAAGAATCCTGAGATATTAAAATATGATGTGAGATAGACCAGAAGCATTTTATGAAACTAGTTTTACATGTTAGCAGCAATTCATGACACTACACCTGTTCTTTCATCAGGGATACCACCCAAGCAAAAAGGCTTATCCAGGAAAGGTGTCATTGTCAACTTTGCAGAAATCTGCCAGGAATAAAACTATTGACTTAGGTAACTTATTGTCTTTTTGTCTATAATAGTGGCAGAGTATTGGATCTTCATTGACCATTGAAAAGATTCAGACCAAGGTAAAGTTGACACTCAAATTGGATTCGCCTTGTGGTGAGGCAGCTGCTAAATGTCCTGAAGTGACCATGGGGGACTAATGTCTGATGGGACTAATACCTAGATACGTGGGGCGTTCATCCCATGCATACACTAGTGTTTATGCCTTGGTTTATCTTCCCCATATGCCCTAATAACAGCTTGTTCACATTCTGCATTTGATTGTTTTCTTTAAATTCTCCAGGATATTTCAAACTTTCAAACAAACGCCACCTAAATCAGACAAATCATAACTTTGTACTGGATGTGTTGGACATTTCTCCATGTTTTTCTTCTTTTGTTTCTTCTTTCACAAATTTTGGTGTGAGTAAGGGTATGATCTTTATTATGATCTTTTCAGTGAGATGCTTTCCAGTATCTCCTAGTAAATAAGAAGAGAGCCGGAGGTGTGTTGTTGCCTCCTAGAAAAGACAAACTTATCACAAAAGGTAGCTCATTCATTGGTTAGGCTTACAAATCTGCTGTGGTTTGGTAGATGATGCAATTCTAATTGTGTGTGTGTGTGTGTGTGGGGGTGGGGGGGGGGGGGGCAGAGGCCTAAATCCCAACAATGGACATAGGAATTTCCTGTAAATGCATTTCCTCTTCTCATACCTTATCCTGGGTGATTCTAATTGCACTTTCTACCTTAAATCTTAGAAATTAATATTCTCATAGAGAAAATCCTTAGGAACTCGTGTCCAGGTGCATGAACTTGTTGTGCTCTCATCTAAATGTTTGTTGATCATGGAATCATGATTATACAGGTGGATACAGCTATCAGATCAAGGGCTGTGCAGGTAAGGGAGGATTTGCTCAGGTATTCAAAGCGTGTCTCGATGGTAATCCGGATGAGGTTGTCGCACTTAAGGTGAAGTAGTAGTTTATCCTTCCTTCCCTTCATGATAAAACCTGACACTGGAAGTCTGCTCACTGTCTTTTTCATGTTATTGATATCTGCAGATTCAAAAGCCAGCTTTCCCTTGGGAATTCTATGTTTACCGTCAACTGGACGTGCGGATTCCAGAAAGAGAAGTATGCAGTATGGAGATTAAGTCATTAGACTATTTGTTGAACTTTATAAAGTCATAAAACTATGTTTGACATATTAAAGTAATTAAACTTTTTCTACTCTAGCAGTAAAGGCACAAAACTATTTTTTGTCTGATTACCAACTTTAACAGTAAAGTCACTGAACTTCACCGATTATCAGCAAAACCTACCCATCAAAGTAACTTTACTGTTATGGTGGATTAAGTTCAGTTGCCTTAATGTGACAACAGATAGTTTTTGACTTTACTGTTATGGTGGGTAGATAGTTTTGTGACTTTTACTGTTATATTGGGTAAATGTTCAATTACTCAAATGTGACAAAAGCGGTTTTATGACTTCGGGATTTTAATGAGTAAAATTCAGTGATCAGATGTGAATTTAACCACTACATATTGGTGTTTGCTGGCTTATAAAATGGTGCTGATTTATTTCATTCTTATTCACCAGAGATTGAGCTTTGGCTATGCCCACAGGTTACATCTTTATTCTGACTACAGCATACTCGTTTCTGACTTCCTAGCTAATGGCACACTTCAGGTTGGTGCCTGTTGATCTTTCAACTGCTATTTCTTTGTTCCCAAAATTTGAATGATATGATGAATGTTTATGCTTTCTAGCAACTTGAGTAACTTGCAGGATGCAATTAACTCCAGTGCTGTGATTGGTGGGTCCATGGAAGAAGTATTGTGTATTTATTACACCATTGAGATGCTCTGCATTTTGGAAACTTCGCACCATGCTCAAATTATTCATGGCGACTTCAAACCCGATAATCTTCTGATTCGTTATGCGAGGTATCTAAAGCCTTTATGTCACTTAATACAAACTTGAAATGCATTTACTCCTAAGCAGAATCTTACATGTTCATCAAAAGGGTACAGTTAGCAAGAGAGTTTCTGCATTGTACAGCTTCTACGGGTTTGTCTCTCTTTTTGGTTCTCTTTAGCTTTTAGAAAAGGTAATTGGCAAAGACTAGTACTTTTTGAATTTCATTTAGACATGACCACTTGAGGTTGTAGAATCTGTACTTGTAGGTTGCTTTAAAATTTCTCTATATTTTAGCCTTATTTCTCTTGGTTTCATGTTACGAAAATTATAAGGAGTTGTTGCTATGCAGTCAATGCTATTAATTCGACAAATGCTTTCTTCCAATTGAGTTCTAACCTTTCTTTTATAATTGAATAACAACAGGTTAAAGCTTTGTCTTGAACATTATTCCCTCTATCCTGATTAAGGCTGACTTAATTGGACCTACGCAGTAATCAAGAATAAATATTTGAAATTAAAAATTTACTTCTGTAGAAAATGTATATAATATTTTTGAAAAAGTTTTAGATGGTAAGACATCATTAAGTTTGAAACCGTGTAGTACTTTTACGTATTACTTTATACGACTGTATTTTCATTTTAGGACATTTTGAATAATATCCTAGTAATATATTTTAAAATGACATTTTAGGACATTTTGAATAATATCCCAGTAATATTATTTTACCTCTTCATGTAGGGGTAAGGTCTCTGTACACATTACCCTTCCCAGACCCCACATGTGGGATTATACTGGGTATGATGATGATGATGATGATGATGACAGAGCTCAGAAACTTAAATTTATTTAACTATTCGAACTTGAATTTTGACATGATGTATGTTTTATAAAACTAACAATTTCAACAATTATTGCAGTGTTTTCTAACTAGTAAAATTAAAAAGAAAAAGTCAAATTAACACGTAAAACTCCATATTCAGTTAAACTATATCGCATATCATGGGCCAAAAGGTGTATTTGTTCATATTAGTTCCAGTTATTGGACAAGGACTAGGGGTGTCAATGGTCCGGTTCGACCGGTTCTTTTGTTAATTTTGTACCATACCAATTTTTCGGCTATTCATTATGTATAACCAAAATTGAACTTTTTGAAACCGTCCCAATTATATCGGTTTCTATTCGGTATCGGTACGGTTCGGTTAATTTTCAGTATTTTCTTAAAATCTCATGTAAAAGTCACTAGTAGAAGCAGAATGCAATAATATACATACTTTTATAGGACTTAGCAAAACTCTCTAGACATTTTTACATTTTAAAGGGTGATGAATTAAGAAAATATGAAAGATGGCTAGAGTATAGATCCATCAACTACTCTACAATAGTGTAAAAGAAACTAAACAAATTACTGTAAAGAAAATATAAATCACACGAGTGGAAAGATATTAACCAAACTGGGACTGAGACTCAAGAACAAAGTCTATAGAAGATTAAATATTCAAAAGGATAAGTTTAAATCATATGAAAGGAAATATAATCAATACATTGTAGTTTGCTACTCATAATCGCTATAATGCCTTGTGTCTTGCTAGTGAATATGCTGGAAATAATTTATTTTCGATGGGAGTAGCATAATAGGTTTGAGAATTATGATATTACTTGTTGGCTTGTAATTGTTTTCATAATTCCAAAACCCAAGAAAATTTAATGTTTTATTATTTTAAACTTAATATATAAATATTTTTTCACATATAAATTTATTCAGTACGATTCGGTATTTTTTCGGTTTATTTTCATAAAATAAAATACTTACCCTAATTATCGGTATAGTTATAGATTTATATAAAAACCTAGGGTTTTATTAAAAGAAACCTAAAAATCGGTTCGGTACGGTACAATTCGGTCGGTTTAGTCGGTTTTTAAGTAGCCATTGACACCCCTATCAAGGACTATGTATTTATTGAAACAAGTTTGTTTTTGGGCTGTACCAAACTATGTTGCTTGGCTCCTCCAAAGATGCTGTCACACTTGTGTCAGATCCTCTATAATGTTTTGAGAATCCTACACGGTGGCTTTTTTTTGCAGAATTTGAGCAACATAGGTATCAAAAAGGAAAGCATGTAAATTATATTGTGGTGGGGGGAATATTCTTGCATCTTAAAGTTAAAGGGGAATTTTTTTGACATATATCAATGAGCTCCCTGGAAACTTTCTGAGGACCTCGGATGAAAATTTCATCTGATCCAACTTAAGTGTCCTAATTTGACTAAGAATGAATTTTAAAGTGTGATTGAGAGTTATTATACTAAAATAGTGCAGAATATATTGATCATTTATCCATTCCACTTCCAATTATTTCGGATTAAGGCATAGTTGCACTTTGTTAAATATGGAAATATATACTTTCTGTTTTAGGAAATTGGACCCAATTTTAGGACCAAAAAATAAATGTGAACTGTTAGATTGTGAAAAAGAGTAATCTACGGGTATTTGCTGTTGTAACTTTTCAGGGACAATCTGACTGATGATGTAGAAACTTTTCGTCAGCGTACTGGTCAATGGAGGGATCAGGTAATTTCTTGGCCTTGTGTGTTAGTAATGTTTATGAACATTAGCAAACTATCACGGTTTTTATCTTCCAGGGAGTTTGCCTTGTCGACTGGGGAAGGGGCATAGACCTGAGCCTCTTCCCCGAGCAGACAGAGTTTATAGGAGACAGTAGAACTTCTGGCTTCCGCTGCATCGAAATGCAAGAAAAAAAGCCATGGAAGTTTCAGGTAAGAGGCTTCCAAAGTTTAACAACTTAATAATTCAGATAACTAGACTGGTGTCGAGTGGAAACTAAATTTTGGCATCTAATGGATACCAGGTGGATGCATATGGCCTCTGCGTTATTGTACACATGATGCTTTTCAATTCATATATGGAAATTGAGAGAAGACCTTCTCCCGGTGGTGGTTATAGTTATCAACCCAAGTCGCCTTTTAAGCGGTATGTCTTTGCTCCTCCTCTTATTTGCTGGCATATTTTGTGTCCACATTCTCTTTAAGATGCAAATGATCTTATTAACACTTGCATCTTTTTAAAGTTTGAATCTTTCCAATGGTTTAGCATATAGTATCAAGTCGTTATGGTCTGCACCAAACGGCAGAGCTCCAGTTGTTTTATTATTGGTATGTGATATGTTCCTTAATCTCCATTCTGCTTGGTTATCTTTCAGGTACTGGAAAGTTGAACTCTGGAAGAACCTATTCACCAAGTTACTAAACATAGACCGTGCTGAAGATCACAAGAAAATGTTGAATAGCCTGAGGGTGTCATTCCAGGATTATATGTGCTCAAATCCTCAGCTCATCAAAAAGCTTAGGCAGTTGCTGATAAAGCAGAAAGCTTCCTTATGTTCGTCATAGGGACGGTGTGTAGAAGAATGAGTCCGAAAGCAGTTCAATGTATCAAATCCTCTTTGATGTAAGAATATACATTCAAGAAAGTATGGGAATTGCCCTATATAGCATAATGACATGCATGTATCTGTAGAACTGTAGGCGCTGCTGCTTTTTTCTTCACTCTTTGGTGTCCTTTCCTAAATTATTTGTCGGGAAAGATAGGCTTGTATGTGTAATTCGTATCCAAAAACAGCATATAGTCGGTGTTCTGAACATTTGAATTCCTTTGCCACTTGCACTTCTCACAAATATTTAATAGGGAAACAACTTATACAGATCAAGTATTGTAACTATATTCGTCGCAATGTCAAATATTGTGACATTTGTTATTATGTTTTCTACTTCGTTGTTCTATCACGACTATGGAGTAGTATTCTTTATCAAATACCAATTCATACTTTTGGGACAACTCACTGAAGTACTTTCTCCAATTCAATTTATAAAAGTTCTCTCTTTTGGGCATGTATATGGTATCAAATTAATCTTTTAACTAGTACTAGTATGCTAATATCTTGTTCTTCTATCATTAATATAATATATAAATCTAATTACTACTAACATTTTAAATTGTGTGTCTAGAAGGAGAGCCTTGCGAATCTGGTAAAGTTGTTGCCATGTGATTAGGAGGCTTCGGGTTCGAGTTGTAGAAATAGCCTCTTGCAAAAATGCAGGGTTAGGTTGCGTACAATAGACCCTTGCGGTCTGGCCCTTCCCTGGACTCTGCACATAGCGGGAGCTTAGTGCACTGGGCTGCCTTTGTCTAGTTAGATGTGGTTATATAAAATAGGAAAATAATAGAAGCATGTTGTAAAACATATAAGAATTGTGGATGTCCACTGCTCCTACTAATTTCACTTCCACTACTCATCACTATTATGATTGTAGTTCCCACACCTCCATTAGTAAAAATTGTGTGGGGTAGCCACTTTTTAAAGTAGTATTTACTTTTTATCCAGCATTTTCAATACTTAGCAATAGTAGCCACTAGTCTATTAAAATTAATATGAAAAGACTGTATTACCCTTTCTTCTATCTCTTTCATGTTAGGTTGAAGAACTGTGCCGCCGTAGTTTATTGTTTGCAGAAGAAACGCAATACAAACAACAAAACTTGCATTTTATTTTTCCAGAAAAGTGAACCCTACATCAAAATACTCAGTCAGAACTACAAACATATTTGTAAACTACTATTCTCCACATCAATATACGTTCACGAAAAAACAAAATGAAACTAAACAGAAACAAAAAAAGGAAAACCTTTTGTAGTCCATTTCAGCTAGCGAAGGAATTGGAGATAACCGCCATAGACATAACCAACACCCCTGAACTTAGAATTACAAGTTTAAATATTAAGGACACTTGGTCCCGATCATAGACTAACAAGCTCAAAAGTTAAGGACAATAGGTCCTGAACTTACAGTTACAAGTTCAAAAGTTAAGGACAATAGGTCCTGAAGTCCTGAACTTAGACTAACAAGCTCAAAAGTTAAGGACAATAGGTCCTGAAGTCCTGAACTACACTAACAAGCTCAAAAGTTAAGGACAATAGGTCATGAACTTAGACTAACAAGCTCAAACGTTAATGACAATAGGTCCTGAACCTAGACTTACAAGTTCAAAAGTTAAGGACATGTAGTCCTTAACTTAAAGTTACAAGCACAGAAATTAAGGACAGATGGTCCTAAACTTCGAGTTCCAAGTTCAAAAGTTAAGGACATGTAGTTCTGAAGTCCTGAACTTAGAGTTACAAGTTCAAAAGTTAAGGACATGTAGTCCTGAAGTCCTGAACTTAGAGTTACAAGTTTAAAAGTTAAGGACACTTGGTCCTGAAATTTATGAGCAGGAGGGTGTTTTCGTCCAGGCAGGTAAAGTTTATTAAAGCAGTGGCTAAAAACTAAAGACATTTTAAACAGTGGCTTAAAAGTAAATACATGTGCTATTAGTGGCTAACCGTGCACTTCCCCCTCCAATTGAATCATAAATATAAGGTTATTCTTGCTTTAACAATAAACAATACTACTATTACACTGGTTTAACAAATCAACCAACCAATGAAAAGATACAAATTAGTAAATATTGAATAATATGAACCTCTAATCTAAAAGATACATCTCTTCACATATCGGCTTGATTTTTCTTCTTGAGCTAAGTACATGTCTTGATACCACGTAAAAAAAATACTCAAAGAGTATTCATTATAAATCCTTATGACAATGAGTATAGAGCAACGCAAGACTTTTATAAGCACCTTTAATTTAGATGCTATAATTCGGAAATTATACGATGACTCTATACCTTCTAGAAACGAAGTAGATTGATTCAAAATTTTAAGAGGATGTATACACTATTATGAATAAATAAATTTATAGTTTAAATTTGACGGATCAACCTTTAGTTTTACCATTGCACTTATTACCCATTTAAAATTATAGGTCCAGTTTCTATTTTACCCAAAAAATTTATAATTTTTTACATATATATCTAATAAAAAAAATGTTAGGAGTGTCATAAAATTTTAAACTAGGGCATGAAGCCTGAAGCTCTCTCAGCGCATGTTAGCTAAACATACGCCATCCATGGGGAGGAGAGCAAAGGCATCAATCCCTGCACCAGATTCGACTCAGAAAGGAATAGGAAGAGTAGCTAATCCATCATTTCATGTTAACATCCAAAATACTGGGGGGAGGGGGGGGGGGATCATGGGCAATTGCTGAAATAATTGGAGAGGGAACTAGGGCTCCGGCAGTGGCGATACTGGGTCCGTCAATTGCGCCATCAAGTTCAATTCCTGCACATGCAAACAATTCAAGGAAGGAGCAGTTGGCTGAATGGGAAAAATCCATACAATCATCAGGAAATAGGAGGAAATTATCATGGGCTGATGAAGCAGAACTTCAGGAGAAACAACAAACTCAATTACCATCCTCAGTGTGGGATAATTTTGACATCGCGAAATTTACGAATGCTGGATTCAAGCTAGAATATGTAAGTCCAGAAATTGAGGTCGATCGACAAATTGGGGAAATTGAAGCAGAGGACATTGAATCGGAGATCGAATATAGGAGGAATGTAGTTGTTTGCTATGTCCTAGGCGTGTATCCACCATTTAATGTTTTAAATAGCTATTTACAGAGGATTTGGGGAAAGCATGGTATCGATAAGATCGCAATGCTAAAAAATGGAATTGTCATGGTTCGATTTGATAGTGAGGTCGGGAAGAATGATGTAATTCAGGAAGGGATTTTCCACTTTGATAATGAACCATTTATTGTCAAAGCTTGGATTGCTGACATGGAATTCTCAAAGGATGAACTATTCACAGTTCCAATATGGATTAGATTACTAGGGTTAGAGTTCAAGTACTGGAGTGTCAAAGGCTTGAGTAAGATTGGGAGCCCAGTAGGGAAGCCATTAGTGGTTGACAAAAACACAGAAAAGAAATTAGGATTGAATTTTGCAAGACTATTGGTGGAAGTAAAAATTGGTGATCAGATTCCGAAGACAATCTATTTCAAGAATGAGAAAGGGGTGATTGTAGAACAAAGGGTTACTTGTGACTGGAAGCCTTCTGTGATGTATGCAGTAAGTATGGACATACATGAGATAATTGTAGGAGGAATAAGGCTAAAGAAGTGGGGAAACCTACACCCGAGACTGATACAATGAAAATAGTTCAAGGGGGAGGAAGTCAAAGTATAGGGAGTACAAGCAAGCAGACAGAGCAAGTAGCTACAACCGAGCCACAAAATCAAGTTGAAACAGGCAGGGATAACAGAAGTGGGAAAGATACACAAAATCCAGTGATGCAGGGAGATGAGAGAAACAGGAAACAACAGGGTACAGGGTGGAATCATCCACAGAAACATGCTAATGTTCATATAGTTATTAAGGATGTGGTGACAGTAACTAATACATTCAAAGCATTGGAAAAAATTAGGGAGGAAAAGGAGAAAGGAAGTCAGGGGAAAGTGGGTAGCCAAACATCTCTCACCATGAGAGATGGTTAATATTCTTAGTTGGAATATTAGGGGCCTAAATGGCCCTATAAAGCAGAAGGAGGTCAAACTCCTCTACAATGAGCTGAATGTGGGATTAGTTGGTCTATTGGAGACTAGAATTAAGCATAATAAAGTAGAAGAAATAGTTAATAGAATGTTTGATGGATGGCAGTTTTATTCAAATCATGTGTCACAGTATAATGGTAGAATTTTGATAATATGGAGAGCAGACTATTATAAGCTTAGAGTTCGTAGTGAGAATGCGCAGGCAGTCACATGTGCAATAACATTTGTGCCATTACAAATGGAATTCCTAGCAATATTTGTGTATGCATACAACTCAAGGGAAGAAAGGAGAGAGTTATGGGAATATCTATGCCAAATAGCTGGAATGGGGCACAAACCATGGATAACTATGGGAGATTTCAATTCTGTGTTACATGCAGAGGATAGTCAAGGTGTCAATCCGGTCACTATAAATGAAGTAATTGATTTCCATTCTTGTTTGGATGTAACAGGCTTAACTGAATTACCAAGTAGTGGATGCTCATACACTTGGAATGATAAGCATGAAAGTGGAAGGATTTTCTCTAGAATTGACTGGGTGTTACTAAATGGTGAATGGATGGACAATTTAGTAGATTGTAGAGCAAAGTTCCTGCCTGAGGGTGTGAGTGATCATAGCCCTATTCAGATCACAATAGCACAGAATAACAACCAAGTAAGGAAAACATTCAGATATAGTAACATGTGGAGCTCTCATCCAAGGTTTAAGGAATTGTGGAAAATGTTCGGTCTCAGAGTATTGAGGGGTACAAAATGTTTCAAGTGGTCAAGAAATTAAAGCTACTTAAAAGACAATTAAAGGTCATACACAGGAACCATTTCAGTAATATTGTAGAGGAGGTAGCACAGAACAGAGCTAACCTACTGCAAAGTCAGGAGGAACTCCAAAAGTTCCCACTGAACACTGCTTTAAAGCTAGAGGAGAAGACTATGGGGGAAAAAGTCAGAAGGTCGAGTTATCTAGCAGAAATATTCCTTCAACAGAGAAGCAAGACAACTTGGATTAGGGCAGGAGATGACAACACCAGCTATTTCTTCTCAGTCATTAAACACAGGAAGCTTATGCAGGCAGCCACACAATTACATGACCATAATGATCAAATGCAGCATGAACCAGATAAAATAGCAAATATTTTTGTTCATTACTATAAGCAGTTGTTGGGTGAAAAGGGAGAATGTAGAGGAGGTGTAAGCCAGTGATTTTTGGAGAATGGATACAGGTTGACTTCTAATCAACAAATGTATTTGCCGAGACCTTATACTGGTAAAGAAGTAAAGGAAGCTATGTGGAGCATCAATGTAAATAAAAGTCCAGGTCCAGATGGTTTTGGAAGTGGTTTTTTCAAGAAAACTTGGGATATTGTGGGTGAAGATGTAACTGAAGCAGTCTTGGAATTTCTCAGCAATGGAAAACTCCTCAAACAAATTAATGCCACTATAATTACATTGATTCCAAAAGCTGCCAACCCTTTAAATGCTGCCTAGTTTAGGCTTATTTCATGCTGTAATGTGGTGTATAAGTGCATTTGAAGGATGATATGTAAAAAACTGAAGCAAGTATTACCACAGCTTGTTAATGAATCACAGGCTACATTTGTGCAAGGGAGATCTTTGGTGCATAACTTCCTCATATGACATGACTTGTTGAGACACTACCAAAGGAAGACTACTTCTAGGTGCTTAATGAAGATAGACTTAAGGAAGGCCTATGATATGGTTAGATGGGATTTCTTGGCAGGAATGATGTTAGGATTTGGTTTCCCTAAAAGCTTCACACAGTTAGTTATGACATGTGTAACCACTGCTACATTTTCAGTAAAAGTAAATGGTACAGGGCATGGGTATTTTGAAGATAAGAGGGGACTGCGTCAAGGGGATCCAATCTCTCCATTGTTGTTCGTCATGGTCATGGAGTACCTCTCAAGAATTCTAAATAGGATGAGCCAACTTTCAGATTTCAATTATCACCCAATGTGTAAAAGACAGAGGCTTACACATTTGGTGTTTGCTGATAATCTAATAATTTTCTGTAAAGAAAATAGTAGCTCGGTGAAGAGGGTAATGGAAGCACTGAATCATTTTTCTGAGGCATCTGGGCTGGTGGCAAATTTTGATAAGTCACACATATTCATAGCAGGAGTAGATGAGAAGACAAAGAAAATATTAGTTCAAATGGCTGGATTCACTATAGGAACCTTCCCTATAAGATACTTGGGTCTTCCCCTATTACCAAAAAGTGGAATAAAATGGAGCGTCATCAGTTGATTGTGAAGATTACAGAGAAAATTAGAGCCACGTCTGCAAGACATCTATCCTATGTAGGAAAGCTACAGGTAATTAACTCTGTCCTTTTCTTAGTCCATAATTTTTGGGGTGCAGTATTTTTGTGTTGCCTCAAAGTGTACTGAATGAGATAGATAGAAAGTGTCGGGAGTTTTTACGAGGAAGTTCAGAGGAAAAGAAGAAAGTGTCTTTAGTAGCTTGGGAGAAAATCTGTAAACCTTAAAGCAGGGGAGTTTAAATGTAAAAGGGTGCAGAAACTGGAATAAAGCTTCTGTGGGCAAAATGATATGGTTGATAATGGAAAAAGTTGATAACCTATGGGTCAAATGGGTACATGGACTTTATATGAACAATGGAGTGGATTTTTGGAACCACATACCTCGGGCTGATAGTAGTTGGTACTGGAAAAGGTTAAATTAACTGAAGTTGTGTATAGTGAACTGGTATAGGAATGGAAGATACAACCTGACTACAAATGGGAACTATTCAGTAATGCAAGGATATCTAAAACTGATTGGGGACACACCAAAAATGGAAATTGCAGAGCTAGTTTGGAACAAAATCAATCTACCAAAATATAGGTTCATCCTGTAGTGGGACGTTCAAGGTAGAGTGTTGACCAAGGAAAGGATGATGGCAATGGGGATACAATGTGAAGATGCTATGTGTGTACTGTGCGATGAAGCTGGAATATAGAGTGCAACACATCTATTTTCTGAATGTGGGTGGTCTACACAGCTCTAGGAGATGTTAAATCAATGGAGTGGCATCAGACTTCAGCAACAGGATGCTTTACAATCCTCAAGCAGAATACAAAGTAGGAGATGGACTATGATGAAGAAGAGCATTGTTGCAGCAGTATATGGAGCAGGTGTATACACAATTTGGCAGGCAAAGAACTGGAAAGTGTTTAGAGATTCTACTGTACAGAGCAATATCATAATCCAACAGATCCAAAGTGTAATTAGAGAAAGAATAGACATGACAAAGACTTCAAAACGAGCTAGGAAGGCTAGACACATAATACATAAGTTGTGTAGTTAGTGCTAGATATTGGATGTAATAGATGAATTAAATTTTTTTGTTTTGATTTTCTAAGGCTTTTCCTGGGATCACCAGGTGAAGTGCTCTTATTTGTAAATTTGAATTTGGTTGATGGACTGGTAATACAATTTTACATTTATTACCAAAAAAAAAAAAAGAAAAGTTAGGGATGATTAGTTGAATCATTGACTATATGCTACATCCTTCAATGTTACCAGATTTAATACAAATATTTGGTTTAGTTATATAAATTTAAGATTAAAAAAATAAAGAAAAATAGAGATTTCAATGTGTCGGACTTGGGATTTTGCAACAATAAACCAAATATAGAAGGAAATACAAAGAAGAAACAATATACTTAAAACACAAGATAGACATGGGAGTTGAACCTCCAATCTCACTTGTAAAGGTGCACCCAATACGTATCTGCACTATAAGACTCATTGAGCTTGGGTGCATACACATATATTTAAGTAATATTGATGAAATATAATACAATCAAACCCCTCTATAATAACATATATGTTCATTTCGATATTTTTTTGCTGCTTAGTGAAGTACTGTTGTAGAAAACATATATCATAACGTAACATAAAAATTAATTCCAAGAAAAACTTGGCTAAATGTGATTTACGAAGAAGAGTATGAGTTCATGTGAACCCACATCCCATAATTGAATACTCTCTTGTAATCTAGCACGTGTAACATGATTTTTGACATTCATTCACACTTAGACTTTCATGCGAACAGCATGAAGATGGGTTGTCTAATGGTGGTTTTGCTACTATGTTGAATTGTGTTAATAATCATTTTAAAGCCTAAATTATTAAAATGTGAAGTATGTATTTTAGTTGTTCAATAAATAAATCGGATTGTAAAATCTCAATTAGGAAATTTCTCCTCCGCCTCCGATCCGGAATTGTAAAAGATTCAACTCCTAAAACAAGTTCGGCAGCTAGTCGATTTAAAGAAATCCTCGTTCCGTTTACTTTTAACTGTCCACTTTTGACTTTACACATTTAACAATTTTATCGATAATATTGATAGTATTTTCAAAAGTTTTGAAAAATGATTTGGGTGAATAAGTTGTTAATGATACGGATAAAACGGGGAATAAAAGATTATTTTTCTCTTGATTTAGCATAGTGACAAGTAAAAGTGCAAATGTATTTTTACTATAGTAGACAAGTAAAAGTGAATGGAGAGAGTATTAATTGGTTCTTATCCTAAGACGGGCCCTTTTATTTTATTTTATTAATATTATTAAATTTAAGTTTAGCAGTCAAAGTATACTCTCGAGTTCTTGGTTTCGCACATAGAAATTAAATCTTCGCTATGTTCAGGTCATTCCCAACAATATCCAATGGAGAATGAGGATTTAAAGAGAAACTCTATTCTTGGAAGTTGAAACAAAATTACAAACAGTAAAAATAAAACCTGTAAAAACATTAATGGGAGAGATAAGTTTTGAAAACTCATCAGTCGTCCCTAATAATTACTTTTGGCATGCATGCATGAAGTATTTAATGGACCATTCAGTTTCTTGATATCTTACAACTAATGTACCCAGTTTCCTAGTAGTACAATTAATAAGAAAAACGTCTGAGTTTTCCAAAAAAGATGAATTAAACACATATAAATTTGCTATAAGCCTATAAATAGCCATACGAGCCATCGGCCAAAATATATCAATCTAATTTGTTTTCACAATACAACAACGAAACTATGTACTCATCATATGGTAGCAGCAGCTCTGGCACAACCACTTTAAAATACCGAATCAAATTTGGTGGACGAACAATTGAAACAACAGTGACTGATAAAGCTGCTATTGCCAATGAATGGGCAGCTGAAATGCTCTCCAAATATGCTGGAAAAGACACAGTTGTTGGTTTAGACAACGAATGGAGACCTAATTTTAGTCCATATAGAAGCAACAAAACAGCTACACTCCAACTTTGCATCGACGATAGGTGTCTGATAGTGCAGTTGTTTTATTTGGATGAAATCCCACAAACCCTAAAAACATTCTTGACTAATCCTAACTTTATATTTGTGGGAGTTGAGGTTGCTGAAGATATTCTTAAACTAAAGAATGAGTATAGGTTGGTTTGTAGTAGAAGTGCTGATATTCGTGATGTTGCTAAGAATACGTGGCCAGGCAGATATTGTCGTCCTGGATTGAAAGACCTTGCTAAAGATATATGTGATCTTTATATGGCTAAGCCAAAACATGTGTGCATGAGCAATTGGGAGGCAAGGGTTCTTAGTGAAAGCCAAGTTGAATATGCATGCATTGATGCTTATGCTTCCTACAAGATTGGTCACAAGCTTCTTATGGAAATGTGAAGTTATTATATATATAACAAGTTAAGTAAGAGTTTTAGATTAATGTGGTGGTCTTTAATTTCTTTTGCATGGTTTGCTAGTAATTATTGTCTTTTGTAAGGTTTCTTCGGCGACGTCCGAATTTTAAGTATTTCGTTTTATATTATTTGGCTGTTGATGTTATTCGTAAGAATATGAGTTTTCATTTGTCAAAGTGGTTTATTATTCGTACTTTATGTTAAATTTTTGCTCGACTCTGTGAAGGTTATCCTCGCTTCTCTTTCATATTGTTCTCTTGTGTATTTTTCTTGCCGTAGTGTTCTTACAACTAAAAATGCCCGTATCTGTGTTGTGGACTCTGTTCTTGTTCATAGCTTTCTGCAATGTATGTGCTTATAACATTCTCTTAGTTTACCGGTAAGGAGTTGCTTTTAATTTTATCTATATTGCTTTTGTTATCTATCGGAAACAGCCTCTCTGCCCTATCGGGGTAGGGGTAAGGTCTGTGTATACATTACTCTCCCTAGACCTCACTTTATTGGATTTTACTAGTTAGTTGTTGTTGTATATTGCTTTTGTTAGTCGTCCGTCCTCTCCAACAGGGGCGGACCTAGTGCATGGACTACGGGTTCCCGGGAACCCAGTAACTCTTGCGTAGACTCTGTATTTATATTAAAAAATTCACTAAATATTGGTAAATATTTGGCTGTGAACCCAGTTATTATTGCATATTAATCTGAAATTACGGTAGGAACCCATAAGCCTCAAATCCTGGATACCATAATCTCAACTACCATTGAATTAGAGCATGAGCTGAGGTGACTCTTAATATATGATCAAGGTTTCACCTTGAATTACTTTTTCTGTTTCTTGCTATTGGTGTTCACTCCTCCTTACTTAAATACCAAAACTTAAGATATTAGTTTAATTTATTAATAGTAGCAGGAAAAAACAACGTTAAAAGAATAAATTGAAAGAGAAAATATCACGTCAAAACTTAAATTTGATTAGTTAAATACATTTGATATAGAATCTTGAACTACATGTTATATAAATTAGTACGTAGTAGTATTTTCAATAAAAGTTAAATAGTTTTTGAAAATTTCGATAAAACGAATTTCATGGAGATTGAGATGGATGGAATGCTGTAGCTGGTACAATCTCAAGAAGTTCTTCAAAATCTTTGGTTAAGGTTAAGCTTAATGGAGTATATTGTTTTTATTTACAGTAATAATACGAGCATCAAATAGTATGTACTCGATGTTATTTTTCCACTTCGAAATAGATATGTCAAATATAAATTTTTTTATTTTGTCATTTTCTACATTACCGCATCCAACGTACGTGTGGACTGACAATTGCAGGATCAAACAGCAAATCTAAATGTTGAGGTTGTGCCGGGTCAAGGTATAAGAACAGCCCCCACGTTCAACCCCCCCCCCNTCTTCTTAAATATCACTTGTTATATGTTTCATATTATTACCTTTTCTAGATTAAATAGGTTATCATGAATTTGTTTAAGGGAGAAGTGTGATTTTGGTTTTCAGATTAGGGGCTCATACAAGAACACAATTATAACTTAACTTTAAGATTTTTGGGATCGACTATATATATGAATCCTCATTATAGTTTCATTTATATCTGTTCTGTCCAAATATTGAAGAATTCAGTTACTTATTTAACAACAAAAAAAACTCTTACATTTTCTTGTTAGGACCGAGAAAAGTCAGGTGTTATGTGTAAGCTAGCAAAGTAAACCTTGAACGAAGATAAATCGTACAACAAAGAGAAATATACCAAAAGAGACACAAACATATAACGTGGTTCAGTCAACTGACCTATGTCCACGGCGGAGATGAGCAATCCACTATAATAAAAAGAGAGTACAAAATATCGAGAGAAAAACCTCACGAAAAAGGCAAACACAAGTGACGCACTAACACTTGTCCCGTAAAGTTCTCCCCCTAAACAAGACTCTCAAGCCCTCTATGGCTACATTGTGGATGCTACTGAATGAGAATGACGGATCTTCAATTTATAGAACTCCAAACCTTTTCCTACAAGAAAAGGGACTAACCAAATATGGAAGATTTATAATTTCCTTCTACAAGAAAGAAAACTCAATCAAGGTGAAATGTTGTCCTTTCCTTCAAGAGATAGGAAAACCAATTATGGTAAGAAAATCTGGACAAACACCTAATATTTCTTCCCATAGATACAGACCTTCACAAAATTAGAAAGATTTCTAGGAATGAGGTCACGAGTTCAAGCCGTGAAAACAACCTCTTGCAGAAATGCATGGTAAGGCTGCGTACAATAGACTCTTATGGTCCGACCCTTTCTCGGACCCTGCGCATAGCAAAAACTTAATGCACCGGACTATTTTTTTTTTTTTAGTAACTCTTGAAATTGAGGAATAGGAGAGTGGAGAGCATAGTCTACCTATATACTGGTATATATCTCACTAGAAACAATATAAAAAACTGAAAAGCATCCCAAGAGATGGAAAATAACAAAATATTACCTAGATCATAGTAGTCGTTTGGTACAATGGTGGAAATGATGGGATATCACATGGACTAAGTACTAACTATACCACATTTATATTAGATAGTCAATTCCACATTTAATGTAAACTATTTGATATATAAATCCTATAATCAAAATAATACAATTTAGTTAATGTAACAATAAAACGANTATTTTCCTTCTAGGAAAAGAAAAACCCAATTATGGTAAATATGTTGTCATTTCCTTCATGAAATAGGAAAACAAATTATGGTAAGAAAATATGGACAAACACCTAAAAATTCTCCCCCTTGGCCTGGATTTTCTGACAAAATAAACTTGATCCATCTTCTTCACATAGACTTCAACAGGTCACATCTCCAAATCTCCACCATAGAGTTTGTCTCAACGTGCGTAGCACTCCGGTCAAATTTCTCAGACAAAAATCATGACTATCGTCAAATATGTTGCGGCTAGAACTGAACTCGCCAAGATGAACCTGTCTTGAACCTTGCTCTGATACCACTTGTTACGACCGAAAAAAGCCAGGTTTCATGCGGAAGCTAGCAAAGCAAACCTTGAACGGCGATAAATCCAACACCAAAAGAGAAATCTACCAAAAGAGACACAAACATTTAACGTGGTTCGGTCAACTGACCTACGTCCACGGCGGAGATGAGCAATCCACTATAATAAAAAGAGAGTACAAAATATCGAGAGAACAACCTCACGAAGAGGCAAACACAAGTGATACACTAACACTTGTCCCATAAAGTTCTCCCCCTAAACAAGACTCTCAAGCTCTTTATGGCTACATTGTGGATGCTACTGAATGAGATGGATGGATCTTCAATTTATAGAACTCCAAACCTTTTCCTACAAGAAAAGGAACTAGCCAAATATGAAAGAATTATATTTTCCTTCTAGGAAAAGAAAAACCCAATTATGGTAAATATGTTGTCCTTTCCTTGATGAAATAGGAAAACCAATTATGGTAAGAAAATATGGACAAACACCTAACATATAAAGGGCTATTTGGTCCTCAAAATTTTCGAAAAAAGGATAATTTTGTCCTTCGTTTCGTTATTTGTCCAAAATGAGTCCTCGTACTCTGCTCCTTCATTATCTCTGAGAAAAGTTTACTGTCCTGATTGATTTAACATAAAACCAATAACAGAAGTGGAAAAGTTGTTCAAAACGAGTGGTTTTATTTCGTGTCTCACACAACTTACACTAGTTGTGTGAGACCTTTTTTTATCTCACATATTTGTGGACCCATATCTTACACATCTGGGTCCACAAAATTCTGGGACCCACACAGTTGTGAGATAAAAAAGAGGCCTCACACAACTAGTGTCAGTTGTGTGAGGCACAAAATAAAATATTTCGTTCAAAACGAATATGTTGCAGTATAAGCATAAAGGGGATTGTTACACAAATAGCCAGCCAGATGTCATATTTAATTTTTCTAATCGTATACATTAATTATACATTGAATATATACAACTATACATATATTATAACATATATTATATATTCACCTGCTCTTTATAGTTTAAAAGATTAGGTGAACGACTTCTGGGTTAATTCTTCTACAAAGTGTTGTTGCGTTCGGACTTCGGGAATTCGGGCCGAATAACATGGAGGAGGGACCTGTCCAGCCTCCCTCTAAAGGGTCAGGCCCAAGTAGTGGGCTTAATTTTATCTCAATGGGCTGGGTACTCTGGGTTGACCCTGTCCAGTTGAATCATAAATATAAGGATATTCTTGCTTTAATAATAAAATACTAGAACATTTTACATGGTATAACTAAGTTATATACTATATTTATGTAATGATTCAGCCGGTCGTTTTGAGTATTTTAGCCCTGATCCGCTATTTATTGCCTTCTCTATGTTGTATTATGTCTATGTGATTTGCCGAGGGTGTTTGGTATTTGTTTCGGGTGAGTTCCAGAGTGAAATAGGACACATAGTTCCTAAGTTAGAGCTTTAAGTTGAAAGAGTTGGTCGTAGTTTGACTTTTGTGTAGACGACTCCGAAATAAAGTTTTGACGGTTCCAATAGCTCCATATGGTGGTTTTGGACTTAGGAGCATGTCCGAATGTTGATTTGGAGGTCCATAGGTCGTTTCGGCTTGAATTGGCGAAAGTTAGAAAATTGAAGGTTTGGAAAGTTTGACCAGGAGTTGACTTTGTTAATATCAGGGTCGGTTTCCGATTCCGGAAGTTGGAATAGGCCTGTCATGTCATTTATGATTTGTGTACAAAATTTGAAGTCAATCAGAATCGTTTTGGTATGAATCGGCATTAGTTTTTAAATTCGAAAGTTTATAGTTTCAATAGGCTTAATTGGGTTGCGATCGTAGAATCGATGTTGTTTGATGTGATTTTTGGCCTCGTGTAGGTCCATTATGTATTTTCGAACTTGATGGTATATTCGGACGGGGTCATGTAGGCCCCGGGTGAGATTCGTATTCATTCCCAAACCATGTTGGACTTAGTCATCATTGCTGAAACTACTAGCTTTTCTGTTCTAGTTTCCTTCTACGCGTTCGCGAAAGTACTCCCGCGATCGCGTAGAGTCTTCAGGGGCTGCTAAGATTTTTCCTTCACGGTTGCGAATGTAGGGGCGCGATCGCGAAGTTTGCTGGGCTTGTTCATCCCGAACGTGTGAGGTATACCGCGTTCGCGTATAAGGAAGGTGAGGCTGGGGGCTGAG